ATAAAAATAAATATTATAAAAAGATAATCCTTATTTTCAAATATTATTATATGAAATTTTATTTAAATATTTTAAATACTGTATTAAAAAAATAAATCATAACTAAATTTATGTTATTTTTAAGCTAAAATTGTTACATGAACTCTACAGCTTAAGGGATACCTAATACTCTAGCTAATTCACCTACTTATCTCTAAATCAGCTGATTTCTGAAAACCCCTAAACTCATCTTTGTTCCAACACTATATAACTCTAACTCTAATTAAAATCATATGATTGAGTATAATTTTGGGCTAGAGATATTTAAGCTAAACATCTTTGACTAGAATTTTCTTATAAAAATAGTATTTTATATTAAAAAAATTTATTTGATATTAGAAATAAAATCAAATAACCCATAGTGATTAATATCACCCTTAGGGTTAAAGTGCAGTTTTAAGAGTTTCTTTTTTTGTATATACTGTAATACAGTATAATATAGATTAGACATAAGATAAGATTTTCAGAAATGCCCTTACTTAGGATATAAGCATCCTGGTGATGATCACCGCTGGTTATAGTTAGATTTATTTATATATATATAACTAATAGTATATAATTGTATATAGATATTATAGTTAGATTTATTTATATATATATAACTAATAGTATATAATTGTATATAAATAGCTTATTTTAGAATAAAGTTATTTTTAAGTTTTTTAATTTAAATTATAATCAGCAAAATTTTATACATATGCAAAGTATAGAGAGTATATACTTTATTAAGTTCCAAGCTTGAAACCAAACAAAGATGTATATTTAAGAAGGATGTACACTTAGAATATATTTAAAAGATCTAATGTATATACTATATATATAGTTTAAAAATATTTATCTTTAAAAATAGCACACACTATATTAATTGTTATCTGCTTTATAACAACCTTAGTACAGTATTATGCTAATAAGATTTATTTTTGCAACTACGTATATAAACTATATTGAGAATAAATTTCTCTACGCTTATAAATAAATCTATATTTAAATTTGTTATATACAGTTAAACTTCCATATATGCACCCCCTTGAGACCGACCATTGTACATTTATAGAGTGTAGTTTTATAAGTGTCATTATTAGTTGTAGGGTGTAATTATAGTGGGTGTGCGCATTTATAGAGCTTGCGTATATAGAGGTTTGACTGTATTGCTATATTTAAGAAACTAGATATATATCCCGTCGTTTGACGACAGGTTCTAACACCCTAGTACTTATTTAAAATAAGAACCGAAAGATTAACTTAATGTGGCTTAATACAATAATTAAGAGGTATATATATATAATATTACATATTAAGAACTATATATCACTATATACTGTATATTAGATTTAAGTGATAATACGTGTATGTCTATATTAGAATTATATATTTAATAAGGTCACTTTCACCTAAAAACTTTTTTAATCCTTTTCTTAAAAATTTTTCCTATTCTTTCACAAACATTTTTACCAGGCTCATCATTTTCACCTTCAATGTCGCCAATTTGATCTATGCCATTTTTATCCAAAGTTTCACGATATTCACAGAGTTTTATAGTTGATGTATGATTGATTGAAATATTCTCTGAAGTATTGTTTATAATTGGCGATTCATTTAAAGTGCTAGATTTTGGTATGTTTTCAATTAAGTTGACTGATTTCGAATTGTCTAATGTGTAAGGAACATGATTTTTCGGTTCAGAACTATCTTCAGGATTAGCGTTTGTAATTGACACCGTTTCGGCCGTACTAGTGGAAGCGATCTCTGCGAAAGAGGTGAGTTGTTAGATTTTAGAAAAAGATAAATATTTAGAGGAAAGATTATCACCATCGCTTCCTTCATTTGAAGTGCTTTCAGTTCTTTTTAGAGTGAAATGTTCCATCAGGTGTATTTTAATAGAAGGCAAAGTAGAGATTTTATTGCTTTTTTGTTTTGTAAAAGTTAATATATCCATGTAATTTATGGTTCGATCAGTACATCAAACTATTACCTTATTTGACTGTTTAACTCGCAACGATGAATAGTTTTAACTCGTGAAAAGCTAAAAGTTAGTTATATATAGAGAGAATCGAAATGAACTAATGGAAAAAAGTTATGCATATGTACTGTTTTGTTACTTTAATTAAGATTCTATTTTATAATAAATTTTTCTTATTGATCACACGATACGCGATAAGAGACTAATAATGCATTTTATACTCTAGAATTCTTTTATGATTCAAGGTTAGTTCATTAAAATGTTTTTTTAAATACTTTTCTAAGGCACTTTTTACTTGCGTACAAAGAATATAATGTGTTATTAAAAATTTCAGTATCCTCTTCAAGAATATGATAAACTGAGTTGTCTTAAAAATATAATTCAATACCATCCTTTCTGGGTTTCGAAAATTATCTCGTTTGTATAAATTACAATTAACAGATAAAATTATTAATGGTCACGAGAGGCCATAAATGTTCAAACATTGATAAATATTTTATAATATCTTTAAAGCAAATGTTAATATTTATTAATAACTTGAAAAACTTCGTAATCTTCTAATTCATGATGCACCGCATTCCATTCAACTGAATTAAAAAATAAACGACTTTCAGGGTATCCTGTAGATCCCCAACAAGACGCGTGTTTGTAACGTTCACCGATCACCAGATCCCAACCAGGTCCAAAAGCTGGCCCACATAAATGCCTATTATAACATATGGCACTATGCACACTTGCAACTCTTGCAAATTTCGCCCATTGTGAATTCGAATTTGTTTTCTTGTTTTTAAAACAAAATAAAAAACTTTCTGATGTTGCCCACCAACTATGATAATCAGGTATTGTTGTATTTTCTATGGTTTCGTTTTGTGGTTTCCAATCTAATGGGTTATAACCTCCGACTATTTTTCCATTTCTTGCAAATTTTGAGATAGTTACGGTTGGTCCCTTCTTATCGCATAATATATGAAAATTTTTAACTTCGAATCCATTCTCACTTGCTCTATACAATAACTTAAATTTATAAGGAAATTGAGTTTTGTATATCTGTGTATTATTTCTATCTATCCAGCTTGAAATCATTGCAAAGTGTTCTACTCCTAAAAGTTTTGAATCTATATGAGGAATTCTTGGTGGTAAAATTATTGATTTATTTTCAATTTCTTTTTTAAAATTAAAATTTTTAATATTTTCATAAAGTTCTGACGGTAAAATAATTTCAAACAATTTTTGAAATTTTAAAAAATTTTCATTTGAAATTTGAAACCATCTAATTAACGGAGTAAATTCTTGTAACGTTCCTTTTATAATACTTAAATCTTCCGATGACAATTCTAAAATATCTTCTATGTTTAAAGTTCTCAAAGATTGAGTAATAGCACATTGAATCATGAATTTACATACTTCCATTTCATCTATAGCAAGATTTTCTTGTTGAAGTATTAGACGTAAAAGTGTTTTATCTATTGTGTAAAAATTTGGTGATTTAAATAGTACACCCGGGTCTTCTGCTAAACGGTTCAAACAAAAATCTCTTAACTTTGAAAGTTCTTCATGACGAAATACGATTTTAAGAATTTCTAAATAGTTATCTGTTAAAAATTCAATTTTCTTATCAAATAAATATGATTGTACGTATTCTATTAATTTTTGTAAATCTAATTCATCTGCTGCTATTAAAAGCTTTAACACATTCATTCCTTCTTGAGTTTCCAAATCAACTTTTGCTGTATATAAATATCTTTTTTAATATAAAAAAATAAATAAATAAATAAAAAAATATAAACAAAATTTTAAAAAGTTAGAATTTGAATAAATACTTGCTTTAACAATAACTTAAATATATTAGGGCAAATATTCGATTTCTTAAAAATTATTATTCCATCTCGTTTTCTTGCCCAATTGTTTGATAAAGCTGCTCGAAAATATGGCGATCTGGTACTTAAAATAATTGAATGTGCTCGAAATTCTTGGATTTCGGGATTTTCTCCGGCTTGAATTAAAACATCATAATTATTTCCACTTTCAAAAAGTTGTTCAAAGTTATAAGAAAGGTCTGAAAGTAAATTGCGAGTAGTTATCATTTTAAAATTTGATTTGATTTTTTTGGGATGTTTCTTTGATTACACGTATTTATTAGACTACGTAAATAAGGATGTGACGCAACATACTCCAAAAATAGTAAAAGCAATAAAAGTAAGGGGCTATCTCCTGATCTCAGACGGGTTACACTGTGATACAAATCACATGACATTATAAATATTCTATTTGCTGTAAATTTGCTTTAACTTTAAAGTTACGTAGAAAGAATAGATTCTATACTAAAATTTTGCAAGGAATTTTTTTTGT